CGGACAGCCTTGCTTGGCGACCCCCATGAAATGGTCGATCGACCCCAAATGGGGTCCCGACCCACAGGTTGAGAACCACTGCTCTAGCCAAAGAGGTACTGCTACTCCTTCTATACCTTTCATTCATATCCTGTCCATGCTTCATCTGCTTGAAAAAAATCCAATGGCTGTTAAGATGCAAAGAATCCTAGTACTGAAGCCTCTAGTCTAGTCAATTACACAATCTGTTAAAAAAATCTGCCCATTTTGATTTCTTCTGTTTATATAAATAACCAGCTTTGAATGCTTGCCTCACTGCTCCTCTCAAATAGCAAATTATTTTTCGCTTTTGGACAGATTGGAACCAAGTGGGTTTGGTTTTGGTTTAACAACATTCTAAGACAGTTGTTAAAGGGATGGAAATAAAGTGAAAAACTGCTATGAGAATGTGCCTTAAAATGATGGATATAGAACAAGACATGGGAAAACCTTGACATTTTGCTTCTGATGGTGAGGAAATACAGAAGGATGGGAAAGAATGGTACTCCTGTACTGCCCTTGGAGTCAGAGGAAGCACTGAAACAAGGAGGAAGAATATACATGATAAACCATCGTCTCTTAAGGCAGTGTTTCTCAACCTTGACAATTTTAAGGCATGTGGACTTCAACTCCCAGAATTCCACAGCCAGCAATGCTGGCTGTGGAATTCTGGGAGTTGAAGTCCACATGCCTTAAAATTGTCAAGGTTGAGAAACACTGTCTTAAGGTATATGGGGAATCTAAAGGTCTACCAGTGGTTGATACATGTTATTTTCCACTAGTACTTTCTTTCTTCCTCACTCTTTTCATGTTGGACATGACTGGATTGAACAGGCACACTTCCTCATGTTTATAAGGCTTATTGAATACTTTCATGACTTAGACATGAAACAAGTCCAAGCATACAAAACTGTAATTCAAATGGAGACACGCAAAGGTTAAAATTGATACCCCTGCTCTGACTAGCTGGCAAATCAGCACCTTCCAGATCAAAACATTTATCATTTGAACCAAGTCTATCCATTTGACTAATTAGCCAGTATGTAACCATGCCCATCACTAGATTGCCACTGCTAGTTCTAGAAAAAGATGTTATCTGCCTTCTGACCTAGATAGACAAAATGTCTATGTGTGGGAGGGCAAGGAAGCAGGAAATAAGATTCTTGGGATCAGTAAAGTTACACAACCAAACTATGAGAGGTTACCAGGTTACTCCTTTAGTGCCCTTACCTGTTCTGAGTCTCTAATTCAAATCTCTCTGCTTAGCTTTTTGCTGTTATTGAGCCATTAACTGAAAAGAATGATTGTATTTCTTATGTCAATATTTTAGTTCCAACAGAAGACATTTGCAAGAGAATTCCCCAAATTTGAACCAAGTATTATTTCAGGCATAGAAAATGATCTTTACTGGATTTTTAATCCCCTTCACATTGAATCAATTATGTTAGAATAACGCTGTGTAAAGTACTTCTGTGTCAAGAGGAAAATTTCACTGGCTGGAGGTACCTGCCTTTTTCAACAGTCTTTCCCATGTGTTATGTAACCCTTTGTCTTAAAATAATTCTCTGCAACCTTTGCAAGGTGTAGAATAAAATAAAAATCGATACCTTTTAAAAAGTAATTCCAGAAAAAAATGTGAAAGGAAATGAACAAAAACAGCAGAAACACATTAAATACAATCTATATTATCTCTATATCTTTATTTGTCATATTTGCATGTTTCCCCAAAGCAGTATAACATCACAAATAACAAAATAGAGACAACCACTTGTCTCTGAACTCACATCAGTTATTACATGGTAGGTACAAAACTAGGTAACTCTGTCTTATTATACAGTTTTCCCCCCATTTATATACAAATAACTGAACTATATGGAAAAATAGTAAAAACAGAACTTGCAGTTATGCTACATGGCAAAAAACAAAAGGAGAGAGAGAGAGGAAAGAAGCTGAACAGGAAGCAGGCAGCGCCAATATTATTTTGATGGGACTCATGTATAATCACGTGTATTAAATGGTCAGTCTCCCAGGAACCCTAACTGGGATGGGCAATCATTGAGCAAGCCCTTTCATCTCTTTCCTGTATGGATATACAATAAACTCTTCCCATCACACAGCACTGGTGCTTTCATATGGCTCTAATTTTTAAACAGTCACACTATTATTGGACCCAGGGTACTTGCTCAAACTACTTAAAACTTCTTATAGGTTGCTTCAACGTAATCAGTCTGTACACATAGTATACATATATATGGTATACATTAATACAAATAAAAAATAGAGCTCTCCCCAACACTGAAATATCTGCAAGTCAGTCACATTATTCACCCATTCTATTAAAAAAGGAGGCTAATGCTGAAAACTTTTCACACGTGCAAGTATTAGCAAGGTATACTGAGTTAGGAAAATTATTTGGAAGCAAAGTAGCGCTGAAATAAATAGAAAGACTGTGCATGCTTCAAACATTATTTGGAAGTGCATGAGGCCTGAAAAAATGATGTTGCTACTTTGTAAAAGTCACCTTAACTTCAGTGAGTGTATTCCTTAAAGAAGCAGCAGCAGCACTTTTCCTGGCTCCTACACAAGCTAAACGCTGGAAAAAGGTCCAGCTTCTTTAATAGCTAGCAGAAAAATGCTAATTTCAATGTCTCTTTGAAATATTGACGTCCTATGTCATCTTATTCAATAAAAATTCCCTACTGCTGGCACTAAAGGATAATTGAACTGACCTTACTCCCCAGTTGCAAGGAGCTGAACTCCATAATTTATGCAAGAACAGTGTTCAACCATCCTTTACTAAGAGTTGCAAAGAACTTAGAATCATAGTTCTGCTGCCACTGGTCTGTTATTTTAATTGGTTAAAAGGATTTTAAAAGTTAGTGCATATGAATATATTGTACAAGTCATATGAAGCAAGGCTGATGATGGTGTGTTTACAGAAACGTGTTCTTGTTCTGTCTTCATTTCTTCATATCTCAAGTTCTCTAGCTATTTCAAGCAGAAAATGTGAATGGAGCTTTTGTCCTCCATCATCCAAATTCTCTCCAATGTCTTCTGGAAAAAGGGAAGTGCAAATCATAATGACAGCAGCCACAGCCTCACTATCTCTCCGGGAAAAATAACACAAATTTCAGCAAACTTCCCAAGCTCCACACAAACACATTTTGCCCAAACAAATACAATTTGGACAAAGGATGCTTGCCCAAATAAGTACAGCTTGGCTAAAGAATACTAATAATTGCTGTAGAAACCTGTCTTTGTTATAATGTGGTGTGTGTGTGTGTGTGTGTGTATGTCTCAGGTGAGAATATTAAGGCACAGAGAAAAGGAGCAATAGAGTCAACCCCCCTGAGATCCTCATATTTAGACTCTCCAGTGAAGGGGTTAAAAAGCACCATAAGAAAAAGTGCCAAATAACCACCACAGTAGCTTAGAACAGAACCAGCATGCAGGAGACTCAGGAGGGGCCTAATGTTATCCCCCTTTTATGCAGCAATGTGTTAAACAGGCACAGTTACCACAACCACAACAGCAACAAAGACGTGCAATATATTGCAATTAATCTGATTGCCCTTCTCAACTTTAAAATGTGTCTGGCAAAACCAGTGGCAGCAGATTTTACTGCTTGCAAAGGGAGCCTGTGATTCTTAGATAAAAGATACAACATGCCTAATGAGATCAACCTGTTTTAATCTTATGGGTTGTAGAAAATAATGGCGAAGATAATACCTACACACCACATAGATATGTTTAAATCTCTTGGCCAGAATGGAACAGAACGAGATTAAGGGAAGGGAAGATGGAATGTTCTCCATCTTAGGCAAATTCCATTCCACTGCACTTAAATTAACTATTAACATAGGTAAAATATTTACAGCAGAAAGGACAAATGGTAACTTTGCCATAAATGTATTATAGAATTTAAAATCCAGGAGATGCACAGCTCAAAAACAGACAAGGCAAAGGAGATTTCTGTATCACTGCTTGTACAATTGCTCCTGCAGAAAAAAACACGAATGACAAAGGGGCAAATGACAAAGGATTCTAACAGTGCATACAATAACTAACTAAATCAATGGAGGGAAGCAGGCTTGCACATTTGGATCTGGTATGTAGGAAGATCAGATGAGGTCTGAAGAAAAATAATTCAACATGACCCTCACCCATAATGAAACATGTATATGGGATACATGCTTCTATTTATTGAGCAACTTTTTTGGGAATATGCATCCGGATAGATACATTTGTATCCTGGGCAGCTTTCGCTGAAATTCTGGATCATTAGGTTCTTACAGAGATGTCTTTCTCTACAAATGGGAGAAATCTTGTTTTGCAGAAAATATCTTGCATATTCTCTTGAAATACTGGGCAACAAAAACCACCCACAAATGCTGTATTTCACTTCTACATCAGGAAAAAGATACTATGGATTGTTTCAATCCAGAATTTCTTGTCTTCTGCCATTCACACTTTGGATCCTTTGCAAAGGCTAATTGCACATATACTATGGAATATTAATTAAAATAAATCCTGGTCACCATTAAAAACTTAATAGAACAAATTAACAGGGAAATAGCTAAGGATGAGATTCTATCCTCCAATAATCAGAATGATGAGGGTGGAGATATCTTTTCATAATAGATTGCAAAAAGGAAATTTTCTGCTAGTTTCAATTCAAATAATTTAACAAGTGAATAAAGATACAGCCTCATTTCTTGGGAATCATTTGTCTGATTTTTGTATTACCAGCCCTTTGCCTTACAAATCACATAAAAACTATGAAAACAAAATATGTTTTACTCATCTTACACCTCCGTTCTAGGCTACAATTTTAGTGTTTTTTAATTTTTTTCTTTATTAAGTGAAATGTGCACTAGTTAAGCTTTTAGAAAAGGAAGTCCATACCACCCGCATTAGCCATAACGGTCCTTGCTTACAATTGGCCTCAGAAGGTGCCCAATCCTGACTTGAGCACCATGTAAAAAAGAAATATAACCTGTTTTCTGGTTCAATAAATAAAGGAAAGTTCCAGGCTATGGCATGATCCACCAACCCCTTAAAACTCATCATCCGAGCTCAAAAGTAGGGTCTTCTCATTGTCACGGACACCAGAGATGCTATGAGAACGTGAAATTATGTGACTGCCATTCCGCCATGGTGGTCCATGTTCCAGGGTGGACTGCTGTGTGTATTGCTGGTAGGCTGGGGAGAAATTATGGATAGCATCCTGGACAATGTCATGGGGGTTCATGGTCTCCTTAAGGCTGCTAGAGATGCTCTTCATTGGGGCGCACCGTCCTAGAAAGAAACACAGTATATGAAAAATGGAAGCTTTTCTCCAGTTATCCCATAAACCTGGTCAAAAGCTACCTACAGCAAGTTCTCCTGGTGCCCATATATTAACAAGGGCATGAATTAGCCAGGAATTAATTTTGACAAGTAAAGAAATTTGGATACTACCTCAAATTAGGAGTGAATATATTTTAAGTATATTTTGTTCTTTTCAGTTCTTTCATAAAAATATCAACTCCAACTCTAAATCTTATCTTTGTAAGCTGACCAGAGTCAATTTTCTTAAATAAAAACATACAACTGTAAAACTTTATTTATTTAGCATATAACTTGAAGTCAGTGGGTCATTTTGCTGTTGCTCCTGTTTTTTTAAAAAAAGGAGTCTGTAAATTGTGTATCAGAAATTAGAAAATTTGTATTTGCCTACCAATGGTGTAGTTCAGGGGTCCCCAACCCCGAGGCGGCGCACCAGCACTGGTCTGCAGCGCACTGGAAACCAGGCCACGCAAACCAGTAAAGCCCCCACCTGCGGATGTGCGGGAGGTAGGCAGGGTGCGAAACCATGTTCCCCCCCGCGGTTCACGAAAAAATCTCTTTCCACGGAGCCAGTTGCTGGTGCCCAAAAAGGTTAGGGACCGCTAGTGTAGATCCCATACAGTTACAGAAAAAAATAATAGTACCTTTGCTACTTTTATTCACAATATGCCTATTATGATTGAACTAAAATATTAAAATAAAAAGATCATCAGAATATTTTGGACAGTACACTGTATCAATTAAAGAAACAAAAGCAGTTATAACCTATAGTATAGATCATTTCCAGAGGTGTGGGCATATTACAGGTGGTCCTTGCTTAGCACCCATAATTGAGACCCAGCAAGTCTATTTATAAGTGAAACAGCAAATGACAACTTAATGATTTTACTTCAATGTTCTCCCTTAATCCGTGGGAAGTACACAAATGGCAATCAAGTGACTGCAGGATGCTATGATGATCATAAATTGATTGCAAAGCTGTTTTCTTGAATACCAGCATAAATTTAATGGTCACTAAATGAGGCAGTTAGTAAGCGAGGACTACCTGTAATCTACTGCAGCAAAAGCAACAGAGTTTCATATTGTTTTATATACTAATACTTCGTTACTGAAGGCAGTGAGTCATATTGTGTACAAACCCATTAGAGACACTGAACTGCAGCTGTAGGTTTTTTAAAGTTTTCATTACAGCTGTTCCTATTAGGCAGAACTTTTGTAGTGTTCAGGAAATATGTTTAATGAGGCCTCCCACTTTATTGATGATTTCCCCAAAGTGCAAATATTTGCTGTTTCTAACATATGATTTATGAGAAATAGTGCAGGAAGCTGAAGTGTCTCAACAACGAAGAAACAAACAAGTGCAGAGAGAGCTTGGCACCTACCATATGGACCATATGATGGAACAGCTGCGCCAGATACCAGAGCCCAAAGCAAGGGAAAGAGAAAAGGAGGAGAGAAAAAAAGAGAGGAAGATATGGGAAACAACAGTCTGAAATGGCAAGCAAGTCTCAGGTAGTATAGCAAGTTGAATTCTTTACTCTCACCCGCCACCCAATTTCACCAATGATCTTGACCCAGACCTCTTACTCAAGCAATACAGAAAAAAAATCTATACAATCAGTTCTGAACAGCACAATAGAAATACCAATAAAAGAGAATATTTGTAGCTCAAAGTTGAAATGAGGGGGGGGTCCTTGGTGCTCTCTTGAGCTTGGTTGTTTTCTTGCAGATGTTTCATTACCCAAACTAGGTATCATCATCAATGCTAGTAAGGAATGGGGCTTGCTATCAATTTATATTCTAGTGACTTGCCGTGTCAATGTTGGTGGGAGTGGTCTTGGTTATTCTTTGATTAGCTTGCTTACTATTAGCTTGCTTGGCAGTTCCTTGATAGGGGTACTGTTTACTTCTTTGACACCAAGATTAATATCAGACTAACAATCAAGAAGTAAACAATACTGCAGTCAAGAAACTGACAAACATACTAACAGCAAATAGGCCAATTAAAGAATCACCAAGACCATTCCCATCAACACTGACAGGACAATGTAAACTGAGAGCAAACCCCACTCCCTACTAGCACTGATGATGTTACCTAGTTTGGGTAATTAAACTGTTGCAAGAAAACAACCAAGCAAAGAGAGCACCAAGGACCCTTCATAATAGCAATAAAAGCACTCAGCCCTCTTTTAATATTAAAAAAGAAAGTGAACACAAGACTTGTAATGCTGACTGTATCCACATCCTTGGAGGTGAGTTCTAGTGGTCAAAATACTACTTGGCTTTCCTGTGCCTTCAATATTTCTACTCTCTTCATTTTAAGACTGTTATTCCAAAACTACTTCTCTTATTTTACACAGATGCACAATTCAACAGGGATATGCCTTCTAGTTGCCTTTTGCTCATTTCATAATCTATGCAGGAAAGTCCTTATAAATCTAGAAAATTGCTGGTGGAGTTCATAGGACAGTGACCTATATAAAATTGTCTTTCATCTCTATATAGCCATGTTCACAAAAAGAAAACCAGATCTGGTACTAATCTATGTACAAATACGACAAAAGGAAAATGCATTCTACTTTTCAAATGAAGTATTCAGAGAGTGAATTAAGTCAGCTTTTTATTGCAGATTCAGTAATGACCTCCATACCTTGCGCATCAAGGTGCTTGTCTGCATAGACCCTATAAGTGAATGCATGCCGCAGAGCAATAGCTGCAAAGAACATTTCCACACAGATGATGAAATCCTGATAGCCAGCTGCTACGGTCCCCACAGATACATTGGCTGAGCGGATCTTAGGAATTGCACCACACTTCTCCAAAATGGCCAATAGCATCCCTGAAATGAAAGAAATATTCTCAGACTCCTTCCCCCACGTGTTCATTTTTACCTGTTTTACTGTGGATTATTATTAATTGCTTATACATTAGTACAAACATTTCTCACTAAGATTATCACTGATTTTGGTTCATGTTTCCATTCATTTTGTTAAGCCTTTTTGCTTAATTTGCTTAATTGCTTATTCTGTCTGTCTGTCTGTCTGTCTCTCTCTCTCTCTCTCTCATGTCGTTTCTTTCATCTTGAAGACATGGAGTAATGGTTTTAAGGTATAGAAAAACAGATTCCCACTGAAAAACAAAAGGTAAGAATACTTTAACAATGAAGCCAATTATCTAGAAAGCTATTCTTCATTTGAGGTTCTCAAGAAAACCCTGGATAACTACCTTATGTAGATGATTTAATTTGGATTACTGCATGGAGCAAGGAGTTGGACTCTATGATTTAAATGTCTCTGTGTTTTTATTCTACTACAGTTTATTCCAAATCTCAAAATAGAATATAACAATATAAAATAGTGTAAAATATACTTAGTGTTCAACTTTGTTTTTAACTTCTGAGTGCAATTAGTAAACACCAAAAATGAAAATAAAGTAAGTAGTTAATTGTTAAATGTTTGGTGAAGGAGGTGTATTTTTACTTCTTCCTAATTGATGGAAGCCAAATGCAGCTCCTTAGGGCAGTCACTGCATACAGTCAGCTAAAAGAAAGTTGCAGTTGACACATTAGCCAGAATTGTGCAAAAGTGCTCCTCACTTCAGTTGCAAAATCAGTGATAGTTGGGGGTAGTGAAGAACTCCCAAACTGTAAACCTACTCTTTCTCAACCCAATCCAGAGATAATTTCAATCCCAGAGTCCAACTTTCTCCTTACCAAGAGCACCTCTGTTTTCTCTGGGATTAATACTAGAGTTTTTTCCCCACATACAGCTCATTATTGAAATTTAGTCTGTATTAAAAGGTAATTATTTCTTCTTTGGAGTTAGAACATAGAGAGCAGTTGAGCTGAATAGCATCCTATTCCAAAGAGCCAAATGACCTCTTCCAGTAATTTCATGTAGCATAGGAAATAAGACAGAATCCATGCCCTATTTTATTGAATTACAGTTCTCTAGAACCGCCTTCTATACTTCAGATAACATTAAGGATCTGAACCACTGCAAACAAACCTCTCTTAGTCCATGTCTGATGGTCTAAAACAGTAAACTAAAAAAAAAATCAGTTCATATCAGAATCTGTTTAGAAAAGACACTGCTGATGGTATATCTTTAAAAAGTTTAAAAAACGTTTTTATGCCTGTTTACACCATCCAAAGTTTGGAATGATGACTAATCAGACTCAGAAAAGTAATTATTTATATTATACAAGACATGATGTCAAGTTTTCCCTAGCCAATCCAGGCTTTCATGTCTTATGCTTTTATGCTAATTTGAACATAAAGCACAGATATACTAACCAGTGGTTGATTATATATAGTGTACTGATCCAGAAGGGATACTAAATTCAAATGGGGGATTTATTGCATAAACTACAATGAATAAATTCAAGTATATAATTCTAAAAACTGCTGGATTGATTTGTTTATTTAGCACAATTGGAAATAATCTGATTCTCAAACTGCCTGGCACTTGACTGAATGAATTGCCTTATTACACCAGAGTGGAACCAACATGCATACAAAATGGCATCGGAAATAATAAAAAAAAATAAAATATATCATTATTCAGTTATAATGAGCTACTAAATATTCTCAGTTATTTGTGCTTGCGAGTTGTAAACATGTGCATTAATACCTCACCTTGCCAGAAGGACAGGAAAATAACAGACTTGACCATGAAAAATTTTAGGACAGGACTATAAGGACTGAGAAGTTCACGGGTGGCAAAATAGAAGAGGAAGAGGGCATATAAAGCCAAGCTGACTGAAATATTGTAAATAATTGTCACATAGAGATATCCACTTGTGACACTGGAAAAGAAAAAAAAAGATGTCATATATTTTTAGTATTGTTTATCTTAAGAAAATTTACAGTATAGACTTTCTCTTACCCAAGTATATCCTCCAGTCACTAAACAATGGGCATTGCAAAGAGGCACACACAGATTAATTATTTCTATAATATTATAGTAAGTCCAATTAAAAATATTTTGAATTGTCCTAAACAGAGTAAGTGATGTTCTACAGTGAAAATGAAAATTAGGGAAATGGCCTTATGACTGAATCTGCATATAACTATTATATTCCAAGAGGTTGTATTACAGTAGCTACATTCAATTCAATGGCTACTAGGTTATGCCAAAAGGCTCTTTTTTTGTCCTACTCATTAGTTACATCTGTATGAACTGGGTGATTCCATCATGCCTTAGGATTTGGATGACATCAGGATGCTAATAATGCTTAACTGTTATTTCTCTCTGATGCCAAAATCAGGTGGAACTGTGCAGATGCTGGGACAGTGTCTGGAGACAACAAGAAGTCTACAGAGTTATCACAGAATGGACAGCTAGGTTATTGGAAGAAATATGATTTAGGAATTACATTATACTGGTTTTAAAGTAATAATATTGATAGGCATCATATATCCAACCCAAAATCAAGATGTTGGTGATAATGCTCAAATCTGTAATGCTATGAGGCTTCGGTATCTGAGATAGTACTAGATTCTATATGCATTTGACTTAAACTCTGCTAAGTGTATAAACTTTGCTCCGTATATCATCACTGGATGCAGTTCAACGTGTGACGTTTCTGACTTTGGCATTCTATTTCTGTAATGTAATTCCCTTTCCAAAATTTATGTCACTACCAACACTTCTTTTGTTCTGAAGTCAAATGAAGATCATATGATACTCATCTAAGGTTTTGAATTTAAGATCAACTCCATCGATATTTTGGCTTATTGTCTTTTGTTTTATACGTATTGTCTCTAATTATACTAAAAATGCGAATCCCGGGTATATACATGTTTTCTCAACATGTATACGTATACACATACATACATACATACATACATACATACATACATACATACATACATACATAGTTTTCTCAAAAATAAGATCTATCCCAAAAATAAGCCCTAGCTTGATTTTTACATGTGTACTTAATATAAGCCCTATCCAAAAAATAAGCCCTAGTTAAGACCCCGCCCACTCCGTCCCACCATCTGGTTGTACAAGGTGGGGTGAGGCGAGGTAAGCCCCGCACCCACTTACCTTAGGGCCCCCACAGCCAGACTCCCATGCCCTGACACCTGCCTTGCCTTGTGGCGGTAGCACCAGCAACAGCAGCCCCGTCCAGCAGGAACCTGCATGGCCGCTGGTCCACTTCTTGTTACTGGCGGCTGCTCATGGCAAGAGGCCACATGGCATATCGCGCTGCTGCTGCTCTCAGGATGCCACGTGGTGCATTATGCCAGTGCTGCCGCTCACGGCAGGAGGCCACGTGGTGTGTCACATCAGTGCCACCTCTCGTGTCAGGACACCACGTGTGCGTTGCACCAGTGCTGCTGCTCGTGTGTGCCACGGCCCAAGGTACCACGTGGTGTCCTGCCGCAAGTGGTGGCACTGATGCAAGGCGCCACATAGTGTCCTACTGTGAGGGGCACCAGCACAATGTGCCATGTGGCGTCCTGCCACAAGTGGCCGCAAAACAAGTCGAGAAGCGGTGCGACAGATGTCGGGGCATGGGAGGTTTGGCTGCAGCAGTCCTGAGATAAGCGGGTAAGACATTCCCCAAAAATACACCTAGTGCCTCTTTTGGAAGCAAAAAAAAAATATAAGACCAGGTTTTATTTTTGAGGAAACATAGTAAAAATAGGGCCTAGAAGTATCTGAAAAAATACTAATTACAGGGGGGAAAATATGCATGCTTGACCATATACAGAACCAATATACTGTTTTTTCCCCTATCTTGTGCCCATCCAGTCTCCAATCGTTTAAAATATAATGCCAGAAGAATTATTTGGCTTTGATCTTCTACCTCTACATCTAATACTATTATTATTATTATGCTATTCTCTTTTATGCATATAGTCCTCTTTTGTTCTCCCAGTTCTTACGGCAAGCATTCATTTTTACAAAAACTAGTTCCCATTCAAAGCTCTATTCTGTTGGTCAGTGACTGAAATAAAGACTTGACTTGACTTGACTTGTTTCCGCATGTCAGGTTTGCGTTATTTAACAAAGAATGTCTTTACAATTAAACTATTTACTTACTCAAAGTCTCCATCCTGGTACTTTCCAAATGCCTGAAGAACAACTGTAATAATTGCCATGAGAGGCTTCACCACACAGAACTGCAGTGTGGCCTGGAGGAAAGAAAAACAGAATGGCAGACAAAATGAGGATAAGAAAAAAATATACAGATGTAGACTTCCTTAATCTTTTCAGGATTGGGAATTCTGAAAGCTGTGGTCCCAACACATCTCAATAGCACAAACCTGAGTTCTTTAACCAGCTCTGATCATCTACTTTCTTTCATTCTTCTGTTTGAGCATATGGTCTGAATACTAATTAACTGTACTTAAGGTAAAAATATGACTTATTTGACTTCTCTGACTTGAGTTCTAGAAGAGACAATCAGACTTTGCTCCACGTTTGATTCCCAAGGTGGAAAAGGGTCCACCTTGGAGGAGCAGAACTATAGGCTATTAGGCAGTTCAAGAAATGTCTCAGAAACCATTTCTGTATCATATATTCATGTAAGTTATTAGGAGCTGAGTTCAATTCAAAGTCAAATTTTGTGTATAAAGTATGCAAAAAACTTCATTGAATTCAAAAAACCCTTGATTAGACATAAAAAAATATATACTTCACAGCAACCTAGACTCTGAAATCATTCTTTTACAAATGTAGATACAATTAATACAGTACTTAAAAAACAGTGGCCTAAATTCATAAATAGATCAAGAAAAAAAACCTTGCCAGATTCATACATAACTTCATACGCCTGTTCCATTTATTATCAGATGCATAAACCTAGCAATAGGCAGGATCATGTACTATATAGTTTTTATTGGATTTCTTGTATACTAGCTTCTTTGGTTACAGATTTTTAAAATTATTTCTAATTTTTTAAACTGCTAATAACCATCATTGCCAAGGGTGTTCCAGCCCTTTATTTATTAAATTTGTTTGCTACTGCTTATGAAGTATAAACCAGTGGTTCTGTTTACTTTTGGAAGGCAGGGAACAATACTAGCAAATGGTGGCCTAAGTGACTGCCTAAACAGCACTTTAGAAATGTTTTAGCTATGTAATATGCTATCTTAGACTAGCGTACTAGATCTTTGGGAAGCCTGTGAAATGATTCAAGTACGGGAAATGTTAGCTATATGTCTTGGATGCAGCTGAATGTAAACTAGGCCTAACAATCACAGAACAATACAAGGATGAGCAGGACTATCATTTCTAGGCTGCAAAACCCAGACAACCTCTGGATAGTATCTCAGAAATATAGAAAAGTTTATTTATTTGTCGCCATTTTGTGTCATCCCAATGTTTTGCAGCCCAGATATAATGGCCCTAGTGAAACCACAAGACAGTTTCAAAAGAAAATAAACCCACTAGAAGCTGCCCATTTAGTCAGACAGAAAAGAAAGTCAAAGAAAAGGAAAAGTTTGTTTTTGATCATTCTTGAGGGATGATCATAAGACTCAAAGAGATTAAAATCCAAGCACAGTCCAAACAATGAGTCATAACCAACTTGTGAACTGGAAAATGTCAAGCTAATTGTTAAACTGTACATTTGAGCTTCTTCTTCTTCAGTCTGGGGACTGTTTAATCATTTTCCTGTAGCCCAATCCCACAAGTGTTTATTTTTAAACACTTCCTCGTGAAAAAAAGTATTAAGACATACTGGAAGAACAAGTGGGAGCAAATGACCTACACAACTACCCAGTCATCAGGCAGTTGTCTGAGAAAGAGACAAATCAAAGCCTATGGTGGCTCTTCAGAATCTCATCACCTATCACTTTCTGAGACCAAAGAATGCCATTTTTGCCCTAGGCAAACAGAATGCCAGAAGCAAGCACACAGCAGCTCCTTCTTCCTAGAAATGAATGGATTGATAATCCAGTCAAACCTGTTGTTTCAACGTTGTCAAAGAAATCCTTTGTTATCCATGTAAGCAATGTACATACATTTCTTCATGCCAATCTTTTGAGTTGTAAACAAAAATTAAAGGATCACAACCTTTTTGTTATGATCTATCTTCTTAAGCATATACTGCTCACCATACATAAACATTAAACATATTCATTTTAGTATTTACAAATTACTATTTAAACTATGAAATTCTTCAGAAATTTGTCAGGAGTAGCTAGATGTGGAAGAAGAGTGAACTCAAAATAATTACAGCACTAAAAGTTATGCTTGGTTAAATCATACATTGTTTCTATATTGTATATAGAAACATTGCAGTGTTCCAATATCTCAGGGGTTGCCACAAAGAAGAGGGAGTCAAGCTATTCTCCAAAGCACCTGAAGGCAGGACAAGAAGCAATGGATGGAAACTAATCAAAGAGAGAAGCAACCTAGAACTAAGGAGAAATTTCCTGACAGTTAGAACAATTAATCAGTGGAACAACCTGTCTCCAGAAGCTGTGAATGATCCAACACTGGAAGTTTTAAGAAGAGATTGGACAGCCATTTGTTTGAAATGGTATAGGGTCTTCTGCTTGAGCAGAGGGTTGGATTAGAAGACCTCAAAGGTCCATTCCAACTCTACTACTACTACTACTACTACTACTACTACTGATCATTGCACAGTCAGCCAGATGTTCAGACTGGATTTGGCATTTTTGTCTACCTATCGGGTCCTTACCAAGGACTTAGGATAGGCAGATGTGGATGTTTGAATTGATGGTATTACAGATATCATTGCAGGATGGAAGCTGTTCCTAGTAAGGCCGCCTTTTGCAATTGAGTGATGGTGAATTTGTCAATGCCAATGGTGTGCAAGTAGCACTCCAGTTGTTTTGGGATTGCACCAAAGGCGTCTATTACTATTGGTACTACCCTTGCTTGCCTTTGCCACAGTCGTTCTATTTCTATTTGTAGGTCTTTGTATTTTGTTATCTTCTCCAATTCTTTCTCTTCTATTCTGCTGTCTCCAGGCACTGCAGGCATTATATTATTATTGTTATTGTTGTTGTTGTTGTTGTTATTGTTGTTATTATTATTATTATTATTATTTTGAAATGGATATCTGTCATATCATTTGGTTAAAATGAACCATTATTTCAGAACAACCATCCTGATATTTAGTTCACTTATTGTTCCTGCACAAGTCTCTTTATTTTTTCAGTGAAATAGCAAGTCAGCTTCTTCTATTGCTAGAAGCTTCCGGAGGAGGTAGAGCGAACTGAAGATGTCTCTACAAAAGTGAAGCCAACAATTGTAGAAAGGACCAAGGAAGTGGTAAGTAGACCTCTTCATTGGAACCTCTCTAGATAAGGAGACGATGGGAGGTCACCACATATGCTTTGGCCGCTGCTACCCACGCTAGAGATTTCAGGATGATTTTTTATGGGCTTGTGCGTCAGGAGATGATGGGATTAGCCATCTTGCTCACAAGTGCACAGAGACTTTTAAAGGACATGAAGTTTGCAAACCTCACTTTCTAATCACTTTTAAAAATCACTCATTAACTACTTCTAAGTTATTAATGACTTTCAGAATAAGTTTGAACATGCCAGATGAATCTACCTTTAATCCTGAATGAAAGAAAACTTGAATTATAAGCTTAAGAAATTAAAGAGTTTGAAATAAACTAAATTTATATCTTAGAGAGTTTTAAATAGACCAAAGGTCCAAATAAAATTGGAACATTGAAACATTTACAATACGATTTGGAAATAATTATAAGATACAAGTTGCTCCTTGTGGGAAATAGATCTGTTTTGATTTTTATAAGATATACCGGTAGGCACAAATAAACAATTTCATAATTTCAAAAACAGAACACTAGAAGAGTCTAAGGTAGAGGAAAGATATATAGGTTTGAAAAATGGTTATGACAATAAAAGCACTGAAGAGATTTTTGAAGAATGAAATCAGAAAACAGTACCTACAATATCAATAATGCCAGTATTAATGTCTCTTTTATGGATGGATTATGTCCAAAAATATTATTGAAGAAATGTCAGATGTGAAACAAATTTTATCTGACAAAACAAGAGATGGTATCAATACTGGATTTATAACTGACAGGCAAAGAGAATGATTCAGAAAAGGATGTTTCACGGGATCTACAAAAGAAACTAAAAAATTCTGTGCAATGGGACAAATAAGTAATGAAAAGGAATCAAATCCTACAGCAAAGTTTGAATGAACTAAAGATTAAGACTGCTAAAAGCAAAAGGAAAGAATAGAATGTTGGTTTATTGAACATAAAATAAGATATGCTGTACTCAGCCGTACTCAGCGTACCGGCTATACTCAGCGTGTGGTCCTCAATGGAAATGCATCTACATGGAGGGAAAAATGTGTAGTGGGGCACCAGGTCTTATTTTCGGGGGATGTCTTACTCGCTTCTGGCACCAACAGCCCTGCCCAGCCGGTCCACTTCTTCTGGGGCCAAAGGAGCAGCTTTCTGTAGCTGCATTCCGGCCTGCATTTTACAGTCAGGCCTTTCTGGAAGGCCTATGCAGCTGAGTACCAAGCTATGGATTCAATCTATAGCTCGGTCCTCGGCTGCAGAAGTCTTGCAGAACTGAGCTATGGATTGAATTCATAGCTCGGTTCTTGGCTGCACAGGCCTTCTGGAAAGGCCTGTGACTGAGAAAAGCAGGCCTGGCTGCAGAAGACGCCGCAGAAGAAGTAGGCCGGCAAGGAAAGGCCTGGCTGTGAGGCAGATCCACACCATACCCCTGTCCTAGTTTGATTTTTAGGTGTCCCAAAATTAGGGGTTATTTTTGGGGTAGGGCTTATATTAGCCTCCCCCCAAATCAAGCTAGGGCTTATTTTCGGGGTAGGCCTTACTTTTGGGGAAACATGGTATTATATTACTACTACTACTACTACTACTACTACTACTACTACTACTACTACTACTACTACTTCGGCTACTTTTTTGGACTTTCTGCTGATACCTGTACTGAAGATGATAAATGTTTATAACTTTAGAGAAGGTGAAAAGTTATTAAGTTACTAAATTTGTTATACATTTGTTGTTATTGGAAGTCACTTCTTTATATATATATATTCTCTTTCTTTATTATATTCTTACTTTTCCCTTTCTTCTTTTTTCTTTTTCCATGAACTTTTTACTTTCTTTTAAGTTTAGTTTGTATTAGTTCAGTGGTTCTCAACCTTTTTAATGCTGCGACCCCAACCGGTCGTAAGTCGAGGACTAAACCGGTCGTAAGTCGAGGGCTAAACCGGTCGTAAGTCGAGGACTACCCAACCGGTCGTAAGTCGAGGACTTTCCCTGCCCGGGAGCACCGCACATGCGTGGTTCCTCCCCCTGCGCCGGCCGAGCTGTAGCTGGCAAGCGGCAGAGACAGAGCAGTCCGACCACCAGCTGGCCCAGCCCAAGGGAGGTAAGGCACCCGCCAGAAAAGGGGGGGAAATGGCGGACAAAAAAATGACGGACAAAAAAATGGTGGACAGCCTTGCTTGGCGACCCCCGTGAAATGGTCGATCGACCCCAAATGGGGTCCCGACCCACAGGTTGAGAACCACTGTATTAGTTTGTATTATTATAATCAAAATTCTTAATAAAATTATATACCAAAAAAGTTTCTTCAATTGCAAGGCTCTTGGCCGAAAACTGAAGTGATAGCTCACATCAGTGGAGCTAGTGAGATTTCAATTTATAATTTCCTATTCCATAAGTCGCAGTTCATTGCCACAAACTCATGGTTTAAATGGGAACTACATAATTTTGTTTTTTCCTAGTTCTAATTTTTAAAGTTGTCACAAATGGAGGACTAATTCCCATAACTATTTGTATTTGAAATTAAAATGAAATTAAAATTTAAAAAAAAATCCTGGATACATCCACTCATATTAATCAACACTGACGTCAAACCTCTTGCAATGAGATAAATCTTAAAGAATCTCAAGAGATCCCCCTTTGAAATATGCCATGGAGGGGAAAAGAAAATCACTGTGATAGTACTCAGTTTTTCAGTCTGATATTGTCAATCCATACCTGTTTACAAAATCTCAGAAAACCAATCGAGTATGTCTTTCCCCATAAGCAACAAGTCCCATACATGCAGCTGGACCTAAAAGCAACAGAGCAGTATGTCAAATTAGAACAAAATAGAATTTTATGTGGAATTTGGCTTAATAAAATAAATATATGTTTATGCATATAACAAGCGAATGACAATATGGTACCTCTTTTAAGTAAAATCTGTCAAAGCAGCAAATAAAACAGGCACACAAACATTTCTTTCACCATGCTTTTCACGCCAAATTAAATCTGGAAGATTCAATACTCCTTTCACTGCTCTAAGATAGAACTCTCACTAATTTCAACAGAGCTACACTATATTATTTGTATTTCTGGAGTACTGCAAATTCCACAAGTTCTCTGTGTGGAACCTGTTAATTTCAATGTTAATTTGAAATAGAAACAGAGACAGAGACAGAAATGGTGTTGGATACTGAATGCTTAAAATTAAATTCTGGCCGGGTTAAGAACAAAAAGGCTACTAATATTACAATTCAATCCAATTAATCAACCAGCTGAATGCAAATATTGATATGGTGAACCAATCTTATTCAATATCAGTTTTTAGTTTTAGTTTTTATTATTAGTTTCTTTTCATTTTGGATTCCTTATATATTTTATACTTTCTATATATCACAAGAGTTGCAATTATAAATATAAATCACCATCTTCTTGTAGAGTGCTCCTTGTAGAAGAGATAGAACAAATGGTATAATTGATATCTGTCTAGTCTTTCTCCCACCAAATAGAGAATGATTATGTTGCAAAGCATCTGAAAGAAGTGCTTTAGAAAACATGGAAATATAAATGAAGCACCTCTTTTCAAATCATTAAAGCAACTGCATCCTTTGCAAGAGTTGGAACAATTTTCAGTTGTACAAGCCTTGCAAAAGACAAACATTCTTCAACCATTCAAAGTGAGTGCTTCCTTCATAATCCATATGGCACAAAGCATCTCTTTCAAATCTTCTGCAGTTGTAAAACAAAGTATGCATATGTATATATTTAGATACCAAATACTCACTCTATAGGCTTTCCTCTAATCTCAGACATGATGGAACTCTCTCCACCTAGGTATTCATAGCAGAGGCTAAGGAAGTTATAGATGACAAAAGCTGCAAAGAGAGAGAGAGAGAGAAAGAAAGAGAGAGAGAGAAAGAGAGAAAGAGAGAGAGAGAGAGAGAGAGAGAGAGAGAGAGAGAGAGAGAGAAGAAAGAAAGAAAGAAAGAAAGAAAGAAAGAAAGAAAGAAAGAAAGAAAGAAAGAAAAGCACATATTAAGCTAGTAAAATATCACTCAGTATAAGCAAAATGTCATTGTAAGAAGAGGTCACTGTAAGAATGAGTGTTTGAAAAATGCCCTTGATGATTTTTGCATGGGCTTGTGATTTTTTAAAATCTGCTGTTTCAATAATGGGATGTGCTTTTTTAAATGGTTCATTAAAATGATTTAGAGATATGATGGATGCGGCTAAAAACAGAAAAGCCATTATTGGCAGCTACGGCAAATAAATTGTTCAAGAAAAAATTATTTGCTTGTTGCCAGAGCTAGCAGAGTAAACAGAAATGGTGGGAAAAAAGCAGTAAGGAAACCAATACAGCATTTCATAATACATACATCCATGTATGTAATGATCATTAAATGAAATTAGAAAACAATTAACTAATTCTTCCATTAGACAAAATTTATCTCAAAGTTATTCTGACTGAAGCACCTTCAGCAAGCAAGTCAGATTCTACAGACAGTGATCTCTATGCTCTCTAAAAAGAAATCCAGATCAGAATTTTAGATAACTGGTACTTAACTAGTCAAGCAAGGATATACGGTACATTATACTCATGATCCAACGTTACACTGTCAAACCATCCATTTTGAAATTAGTTATGAATTCTGAGCATTGATTTGTTCTTTTAGAAAGTTCTCTATAACCAAAAGAAAAACTGCAGCATTTAACAAGTCACATGTTCAGATGTCTTTTTCATTGCAATCTAAACATATTTTTAGAATCATAGTGCTCCCTAGTGTCTGTGAAATTGTTAGTATGTTCGGTGAAGAAGTGACTTAACAAGATTTCTTATCCAAATACTAACCAGCTTGCTCATAAAAATAATAAAAATCTACCTTTAGGATAAAATAGCGTATTTTAGCCCAATTATCACATTCCAAATAACACAGAATGCTAACATAGCATTTAAAAGTTCTTATAAAGAGAACAGTACAAGTTTCTGCTTACCTAGAACAATAGTAGTTTCACACCACTCATAATATAATTCAAATCTGTTTCTCATCCAAAGGGACTAGATGCTACCACCTACCCATTATAACAGCTTGCATGTCTATTTTCAAAATTATTGAGAATACATACATGAGGCCTTTCAGCATCTGAAATGTCACATAGTGGTATCAACAGTATAATTTGCTTTAGACTTAGTTTACTGAATAAGCTGTTATGAAATAATAAACTTCTAACAACATATGCTAATTTAACACAAGATACCTTCTCAAATAATCCAAAACAAAGATAGAGTCATTCCTTTTTTGGAGTCTATTTTATTTGTCCAGTATTTAAGCGATGGTAATTTTCCCAATGTATTTTTGCCCAATTTACTGTTTGCCAACAGACTATTGCTGAATATTTCAACTATCATATAGCATACTGAATTGCAGATAAAACAGATCATGCCAGACAAACCTTATTGCCTTCTTTGATAAAGTGACTAAATTAGACTAAATTAGGGAAATGCTGCAGATATAGTTTACTAAGACTTCAGTGAGGCATTCAACAAAGTAGACCACAGCCTACTTCTTGGTAAGATAGAACAATATGGGATACATAATACCATCACCAAATGGATTCACACTTGGCTGACCAAGCACTCTCAGCATGTAGTCCTTAATGGAATTACATCTACATGGAGGGAATCGTGCAGTGGAGTACCTCAAGGTACTGTGTTGGGCCCAGTGTTGAAGAACATCTTTATAAATTATTTAGATGAGGGTAGAGAAGGGGAACTCATCGAATTTGCAGATGACACCAAACTGGGAGGAATTGCCAATACTTTAGTAGTAGACTTAAGATTCAGAAGGATCTTGAGCACTGGGCTCTAACAAGGTTCTGCACTTAGGTAGGAAAAACCAAATGAACAGGCATAGAACGGGCGGCATCTGGCTTAACTGTAGTAACTGTGACAGTGTGCTGCCCCACTCACTCACAAACGCACAAAGTGTGGTTTTGGAGAGTTTATTACTGTTGCCCAGCAATTCCCTTCACCCAGCCTCAGAACTGTTCCCAATAAATCCAGGCCAAGGTTAACCCACCAGCAATGGACAATAGTCCACAAAACAAATGGAATGTTGCTCCAACAAATAAGTCCACCAACAAAACTTAACTCCACCAGGCCAAACTGAAATACACCCACAAGAGCTCACTTGGCAAGAGAAGTTCAGAGTCTCCAAGGCACAAAGTCAAGCTGGAAGCACAAGGAACACACAACCATAAACCAAACACGTTGTTCCCAGCAATGCCTCCCTCTGCCTGCCTTGATAAATAGCTTTCCAGTGTAGCCCATCAAGATGGGCGGGGTCTTCTCCTGAGTAATCTGGCAGATCTCCGCTGCTCCTCTCTTTGCTCTACGTGCTCTTGGATCTACCATGGAAGGCAGCTCCTCCTCCTCTTCACTGACCACTCACCCCTGAAAGCTGTCCTCAGCTGAAATCTCCTGTAAATCTCTTTTGGCTGGCCGTTCAGGGTCATTAATTAACCCAGTCCCTGAGGTGCCAGCAATGAGCTCTTCCACCCTTGAGCCGGCCTCTGAGGAAAAGTCAGAGGAGTTGTCCAAGGGAGACATCATAAACAGGAATCTTGGTATCCTAGTTGTCTATCACTTAGGTATGAGCCAGCAGTATGCTGCAACTGCCAAAAAAGCCAATATAGTCCTAGGTTGCATTAACGGAGGAATAGCAACAAGATAATGTGAAGTGATAATACCACTCTATATTACGTTAGTGAGGCCACACTTGGAATACTGCATCCAGTTCTACTTGCCACAATACAAAAAGGTGCTGAGACCCTAAAAAGAGTGAAGAGAAGAGCAACAAAGATGATAAAGGGTCTAGAAGCTAAACTATATGATGAACAGTAAAGATAACTAAGTATGTCTAGCCTAATGAAAACAGGAATTAAGAGTGACATGATGGCTGTCTTCCAGTATTTGAGGGACTGTCACAAGGAGGAGGAGGTCAACTTATTCTCCAAAACACTTGAGGGCAGGACAAGAAGCAATGGTTAAAGAAAGATCCAATCTGGAACTAAGGAGAAATTCCCTGATAGCAAGAACAATTAATGAATAGCTTTTCATCCAGAGTTGTGGGTGTTCTATCCCTGGAGATCTTCAAGAAAAGACTGGACAACCACTTTTCCAGTGTGCAATAAGGTCTCCTGCCTCTTGCACGGGATTGGACTAGAAGAACTTTAAGGTGCCTTCTTCCTCAAACTAGTAATAGCAAGGAGAAAAGTATTTTCTTGGGGACGATAAAAGATTTAAGCCTTGTATGCCTGCACATTTGGCTCAGAGAACCCACCTAATATAATTATTGTATTGTTGTACAATAAATGAAGAATAAAGCAAGGCACTTTTTAAAAATTCAACATTCAATGCTTGTTACTGCCATAAAGATATATTCTTCTAAGTTTCAAGTTACACTAATCCAAATAATATTAATGTTTATTCTGAGCAGCCTCCTCTTCAATTCTTTGTTGGAGAATTCTGTATGATTTAATGGATTGTAAATGTCTTCTAATTGTGACCAAAACCTTGGTTCAACCTAGAAAATTCATCTACAGATATCAAGAAATCATGCTGTCCAGGAGCCTATCTCCTTTATCCTCCTATAAAGTAGAAATTACTTACAATAATGTATTTATTTATAAATAACAAACAATATAAAAGCAGTAGTCCATCACAAGGTGTTTACAACAGGATACAACAATTGTATGTCCATTTTACCCAGAAAGGAATTAAGTTCCAAGAAGATATATATAAGATTGCATGGAAATGTCTGCAAGTACCTTGGCCGCAATATTTTTATTATCAAATATGCTTATTATTTACAAATTCTAGAAAATATTTGTCATCAAATCACTATCATCAGACCATGTTAACCAAATTAAGAAAAAACAAAAAAGTGATGGGGAGGAAGGTGGTATGAAGAACAGAATACATTTGGTTTGTGTAAATATTATGAATATTAAGTACTAAATGTGTTCATTAACATTTGTATAAGGGCAGTCTTTCCATGGCAAAATAAAAAAATCTCCTTTGAAATGAAAACAGATTCGTTTCGTCTGCTCTTGCTTTTTCTAGTAATAGTTCTGAACAGTTCATGAGCAGAAAACATAGAAAGGGAGGGGAAATAAAACACCATTAACACACAGGATATTGAACTGGACAAAATGGCAAATTTTAGAATGTAAACTGACCCTCCAAGCAGATGTTATGATGTTTGCAATCTCCCTAAGCGAAGCAAAGGGAATAATAGCTGTTGCTAAGAGACGAGATCTACAGAACAACAGGCTTCTTCCTATGACTTTGTATTTATACATACAGTAATGGATAGGTGTGGGAATACTCAACCAAACAAAAATAATTTCTGATTGTGCACTTGATTTAAATCCTGCCTTTTTGCAGGAGGCTTAGGAAAACTTACAAAAAAACTGTATTCATTTTATTTGAACATAACTCTGTGATGTAGGTTGGAGAGAGAATATATCACTGGCTCAAATTTACCTGTTGTTTCCCAGGCTGAGTATATCAGGTATCATATTCCAGTGAATTGTTACTAGTATGAAGGACTCCATATTTCTCTAAAATAAAGAATTTGGGATCCTTCATAGTCTCTTGTGAAACCAAGATTGTCTTATCTCATCCCAAGTGGTCCAAGCAAAAAAGCATACTCCCAAACCCTAAAATAAAGGAATATGGCATAATTACAGAAAGGAGAAAAATATACAAGATAGGCAAACTCTAAAGGCTCAAGCCACACTTCAGAAGTTCAGATGAATGAATTGGCTTCAAGTCCTGGAGGATCAGAGACAGGCTACAAAAACAGTATTTCGAACAGTCAGCAGATTTCAAGGAAGAATGTTTTATACTGGTATTTTCAGATCTTCACCACAGCTGGTGCACAGTTGTCTTGCTCAGAAAACCAAAGTAAAAGTAATCATTCTCACAGAGCTCTTTCCTACAGTCATGTATTTCTGTACATTTCAGTTCTTTGATATTTGACTGTACTCTGCTTGGGGTTCTCTTGGAGCTGGAGGGTATGCTAGAGAATCTGCACTAGTGTAGGAAATAAACCTCAAAATTGTCTGGGGATTGATTCTTTGCAAGTCCTTATGTTTGGGCCTAGCTCTGTAACTATCTTGGTTTAGCCACTTTCTAATCATCCTCTTTCTCTTACGATGAGTCACTTAAGGAGGGTATGACATCAATTCCCTTAAAGAAGTTTGTTTCAGAACAAAAAAGTTGTCATGCCAAAATGCTTTTAAGATCATCATGTTCTGGAAATGAGAGTATCTTGAGTTTTGTGATCAAGCGATGTTTTTTCTGAGGAAGATAATGAATACAAATACATTATTTTTAGATTGATGGGTTTTTTATGTCAATTTACTGCTCCAGAGTTTAGAGAAAGGCCCAACAGGATTCTTGGTCTAAAACTAATCATTAAGGAAGAGCTAGTTAAGGAAACTTGAGTTAAGTACATTCAAGGGAGATTTTGACTTTAAGGGGAACTAAAACTGACCACCATCTAATATGTATCATGGACTTCCAAAAAGTGAATGTTATTTAATTCAGACAAACGATAAGTAGGAACCTATGATAGGAGAAACTGGTGGGAAAAGGAGTCCTACACTGGGTAGAAGTTCCTAAAGAAAGAGGCATTAAAAGCACAATTATAAATAACTTGAATAACAGAGGAGAACATAAAGAAGCTGGAGTCGCTGTACAAAAAGCTTACGGCAGACTTGAAAGCAAGAAACAATAGGGACTGAAAAGAGGATGACATTTTTTGGGTCATAAAGGAAGATAGGAAGCCTAGAATTGTACAGCTGGAAAGAGAAAGCTCATAATGAGCTCAGCTTAGCAAAGGAGGCAGTGAATATAAAAAAGGTGAGCATTTGTAGTTATGTTCAAAATAAAACAAGAATGAATTAGTATATTAGTTGCTCAATGATGATAGCAAAAGGTAAAAGAAACAAAGAAAAGGTAGAGTTTTTGGTTGCTATTTAATTCAATCTTCTACAAACAAATCACACATGATCCACTATGATATTACAACAGAAAGAAAGGGCAGGCCTGAAGCTTGAGTTAATACAAACACGGTCAGGGAATGCTTATTTATTTTCAATTACTTAAAATTTCCAGATTTACTGGATTCCTGAAATACTGAAAAAAACTAGCTGATGCTCTGGTTCAATGTTTTCTAGAATGGGGTGGGTTTTTTTGGCCCAATACTGAACTTAGAAAAAAAATCCATCCTTAAAACATATATAAATAATTGCAATCTTTCTCCTTTGACTACAGCGTTGGCCATAGGGTGACCAAAAGGCAGGATGTAAACCAAATAAATAAATACAATGTTAATGGAGAAAATGCTCATAACATTTGCAGATACGGGAATATCTAAAACCCTATTGTTGTTGCTCTGTGAGTGAAATGGATGGTCTCCAAATTTGATAAATAAATATTTCACATTCATTGGAGAAATGTCCTAAAAAGTATGAAATTTTGTAAAATTCTTCATTTAGGAAACCAAACATTAAATGTAAAGATATAGGATTGGGTTATCTTGTTAATAATGGTACTTATGGAAAAGATCTTGGAATACAAGCCAACAATGTGCTAAGATTGCAAAGAAGGGAAAAAAATCACTTTTACACTGCATCAATATATTTCTAAATTAGGAAAGAATTGTTCCCTTTTATTCTGCTCTAGTTTGGCACATAGTTTTAAGAAGGATTCAGAGTCTTTGGAACAAATTCTCAGAAAGGCAGAAGGAATGATTGGGGACTAGAGCTAGGATCCACAAAGAGAACTGGAAAGAGTTGGATATGTTTAGTCTCAAGAAAAGATGATTAAAGGAGTATGACAACATTCTTAAATGCTCAAAAGAATGTTACATATAAAGAACAGATAGTCCTCACTTAAAGACCATTCAAGATCGAAACACTTGGCAACCGATTTGCACTTACAATGGGTTGCTAAGTGTCCCACAATCATGTGATTACCATTTGAAATCTTACCTGATGGCTTTCCCAGAAAGTCAATGGGGAAGCTAGCAGGGAACCCAAGTTGCTACCGCCTACTGAGAGAACTCCTTCTGATTTCTTATTGAAAAAGGTCTATGTTGAAAACCAAGCAGATTTTTGACACAAACTGTTTGTAGCATGGGGTATTTGCAGCCGAACCCCAGAGACAACAGGACTCTTTCTAGTTTATGTGGGTTAGCTGAAAAAGTTCATCCTGAAATCCAAGCAGGATTTTGGCATGTAATGTTTGCAGCATGGGGTATTTGCAGCCAGCCTCCAGAAACCTTTCAACTATATGTACAATGGGGTTCTGTCCTGCACCCAGAGAAACTAGAATACCTGTCAGTTTATATCCAGCTTCCTTTTCTACATAATGAGCAATATCTACTTATATCTCTTTCTCTACTATAGAATACCATAAATTTCATCTGTAAAGAAGGACTTTTCTTCCAATGTTCCAACTGGCTACTTCAGAGAACTTCAACTCTGGAACCCAGAAATTTATTGACAATATGTGATGCACTCAGGAAGGGCTTATGAATATCTTATTATCATGGTCAGAAACCGCATGTACTTTCACAGAATTAAATGTAAGAGAAACAACATCATATCATTTTTAATATGGTTACCATCCCTTCCTTTTCACCACTTTCCATGCTTACAAGCACCTTACCTTCATAACAATCCCGTATTGTCCCAAAGTAAACATAGTACTGGTCATTGGTGAAGAAAAGAAGACTGAGCCATGAGTCAACAGCATAAATGGGAACAATGAAAAGGATCCTGACAATATAGCGTTGCTCATTGGGGCAACTGTAGCAGCGAAGGTGCATGTAGATCTAAATAAGAGAAAATGGAGGTTGTGATCAGAATCCAATCATGGAGTAAAGAAAATCAAACTCAAAGAACTGGACACCCCAAACAAGAGTATTTTCCCTAGCTTTCTTATTTTGAAATATAATAATTTAGTCAGATGTGGTCACTGGAAGTTGTATCTTCATTGATTATAGTTAGATTCTGTTTTTTCTCCAGGAACTGAAATTGACACACATCATTTTATCCTTCTAATATTATTCTAGAAAATAACCTGTGAGATTGACTTACAAAACTAATTAGTAAACATATAACATACTTCCAAATTATTTCAATTATATTCTCCATAATACCTTTAATCTAATTTAAAAAAAAACAAGTCCTGCAGTTCATATAACATGAAGATGTAAATTTTATTTTCAGTGAAATTCCAGTGATACCACAAAACAGGAATTTTGCCAATTCAATGTTACAAAAAAAGAATTGGGAATTTTAATGAGATTCTTTTCCAATGGGGTTAATTTTAATTTCAAAGTATACCCTCTCATGCACATATTTTAATCTAATAGGATGCAATCTATGATTAGTCACAAAATTCTGACTTCTAATACAAGATAAGGATACTAAAGTCAAACAGCTTCACTATCAGACTATTTAGATACAGTTTACAACCTGATCAATCACTATACAATGCATAGTTTCAATATAGTACTAACACACAAATGCACATTGCATACAGGCTTCCGGTTTGCGATTGCGGTGCCGGCGGACGTTCAGGAAGAGTGCTCTCTTTGCCGTCCAGTTTCCCTTCGTCGGAAGACCCTGGAAAGGGTCGAAAGTCGCCCTGGAGGGGCGACCACCGCTGAGGAGGACCCTCGACAGATCGCGGAAGGGCAGCTCCTTTGCACCGACGAAGAAAAGATCGGCCATTAACATGGTCGATCACTAAGCCATTCCAGCCAAAAGCCAAAGCACTACCAAGCACAACAAAAGCAACATGGAGGAATTGGATGAGACCGTACCTTACCTTTCCTGCTTCCCAACTACTTTCCTGTAAAAGCCTTTGGAAATTCTCCCCCCCCCTTTTTTTTTTTTTAATTTGGCAGCTTCTGCCTACTCTGGAAATATAAAACTATGGAAAACAAAAAAAAGAACAACTAAACTAAACGACTAAATAATTGGACTTGTAATTTTTGGATACCTGGGGGTCCCAAAAGGTTTCTAATCCTACAGAGACTTATCATCTTACCTATCTGTAAAGCAGGGGGAAAAAAGAATATTTCTTTTTTTTAAACCGGATAAAAGCCTAACTTGAGTTTGGGAAAAGATTTTACATGTTACCGGGGACATCTTGTGGTGAAATTTGTTACAGCAAGTGAATTTCTTTTTCTGACTGGGAGACCTGTGAGACTAAGATTTGTCCTTGACACTATCAAAAAAGATAAGAACTTGAAACAGCTGGGTGATGAAAACAACTCTCTATAGTGGAGGTGGACATTTATTAACTTTGATCAAAAATAGCCTCCACTAAAGGATTATCTGTAAACACCACAGAAATGGAGGAATACTACCCACAACTTAACTACAAACTTATACTTGAAAAAATCCTAGAGGCTACTGAGCTAATGAATTCCAGACTAAAAGATAAAGGCGCCACCTTAAAGCTACAAAATGCAGCCCAGATTTCAACTGATGAACTTACAACTCAAAAGGCAACAGAAGAAGAAGGAATTAACACTAAAGTGGACTTTAAAGAACACCAACTACAACCTACTGAGAACCCTGAGAACCAAACCTTGATTTCAACTAAAAAATCTGCAATTCTAACAGTAACAGAAACTGAAGAAAGCAACACTAAGACGGAAGGTGCTGAAGACCTACATACACAGGACATTGAGAATTTAGATAACCCAGACAACCAAACAACTACAACATTGAATATGACTTTTTACTTAAATCAGCTAAAACTGGAAGAAGAAGAAAAAGACCAGTCTGAACTGACGACAAATATACTAAGCCAATCATGGAGACTCAAATTATTAGGCCAACAATCTAATGACTATGAAAGGATCAGCTTCCTTGAAAAATTGAAAATTGGATGGTCTCCCTTGATTCAAATGACATGTGTAGGAATGAAGGTAGATCCACCTGAGGATTTAAAGGCACTGCTATGGAAACCTGTTTGGCACAAAAGGAAAGCCAGAGTCAGACTTAAAAAATGGGATTTCTTTATGTGACTTTTAATGGAAGAGCCTAAAATCTCATTTAATGGGCTAAGGAGATTTTAAAAGACATTAACTGATTTAATATTTAGGATTTAGACCTACAAGGGAACTAAAATCTAGTTACTAGAATAATAGTTTTGAATTATATTATAGAAGATGGATTGAGACCATAAAGGTTATTTTATTAGTAAGTGATGATATTAGGATGAGAAATATGATTGTGAAATAAAGTAAGAATTTATCTGAGTAAATAATAAGTGTATCTTAGATATCATAACTATTTTGTAATGAACTAAGGGAACTGTGGGCTATCCAAAACCTAAATACTATGGACATAGTATCTGTAACTGAAATTAGATAAAAGTTAAAAACAGGACATGGAGGTGTATAAGTCAAAAGATATTGATAAATGTTTTAACCGACTGAGTTATAACTAGCAATGTATTTCCACTGCAAGTTAATATTTGGACTTGTTGAAAAACGTTGATTATTAATTATAATTCTGAAATAGGATTTTCTTGGGCTGAATGTTTTTCTAGATAGCAAAATACCAAGTATTTCAATACAGGAACTACTGAAAAAAGAAAAAGAGGTTTGAGTGCACAAAACAAGTTGATCTGGACCATTTTGTGAAACTTCATGTTACTTTCCATTAAAAGTCCAAAACTAGGTTTGATGGTGAAATTGGTCATTGTGAACATGTTGTGTTTCATATTCAAAATAGAAAGATTTTCAAGATTAAATATTCAATTATTGCCTCATACAGTTCAAATCAAAACTTTGGTACAACCCTTTAATTAGAATATAATTAATATAACACTATCATGCAAAATAATTGCACAGAAATGTTATTTTGCTTGATTAAAAGTTTCATCTTGCTTCCATGGGCAGCCAACAAAATACTTTGGAAAACTTACAAACTGGAAGCAAATAGATTTTTTTGCTTATTCCTAGCATCTGGCTATCAGAAAGTACATAACTTTATAGACTTCTTTAACTATAAGATCACATCTGTAATCTATAGACAGATCCATGAATGTCTTTAAAAACTGTTAATCAGTGCCCATGACAATCTTTTGTAGCAATTCTATAACAGATAATGGAACAGGAATTCCCCCTTCCTGTACTCTAGAATTCCATTAAGTGTCACGTATACCTAATCCAAAGACCAGGTCAAATTTTGAAGTAGAATTAACAAGATGAATTACTTCCGCCTCAATAAAAGACAGCTTCTTATTAATAAATAGATGTGATGGAATTTAGCGAGAAGATGAAGGGAAGAGGTACATTCCAGAGGAGTAAATGGCAACTCAGTTCAGATATCATAGTAAGCTCCTCCCTAATAATTCACAGAGTATATTGTAAATGTAGATAGTAAAGTCATCAGTCTGGCAAGACTTTGCCTATAGGTGTGAAACAATAAATAACTCATCTTGGAAGAATTACCATGAGTCGGTCTTGGTTTTGGGTCTGAAAGTAATCCACTTCTGAATCCTAATCTACCAGTTGATTCAATATCATGAAGATGTTCTACAATTGATAATCACTATCTAATAATTAAAAAGTGTCAAACAAGATTGATATATGGCAGAGTCTACCTATGTAAGTAAAAGAGTAGGAATGTTGCAAAAGAGAAAGTTACATCTATCTGATAAAAGTCAGCAGCTAGACTTTCTAGTAAAAAGGCTAAGGTGGGAGAAAAGTAGATATATCTCTTCTTCTCACTGCAGTGAAATTAGTCATAACAATGATGACAGTTAGAATGGGGAGAAAGAATCAAACACTGCTATTTATTCCATGTACTAAGACCAAACAGAAGTACAAAGCGGGAAGATGATGCCAAAGGGTTATTAAACATTATGAATCACAGCTTTTCATCATCATCTCATCCTCCCACCTAGCCCTATATAATTAAATGTATAATATTCTTAAATTAGCCAAATATATTATCATCAGCGAAGTGCATTCCTTATATACAGAAATAATGAAGAATTCTAAAATAGAATCAAGGGTGTATCTGTGTGTGTGTGTGTGTGTGTGTGTGAGAGAGAGAGAGAGAGAGACAGACAGAGACACAGAGAGAGACAGACAAAGAGAGAGACAGAGACACAGAGAGAGAGAGAGAGAGAATATGTATATACATATATGTATGGATGCACACACACACACACACACACACACACACACACACGTGTGTGCCAGTGTGTTTGCAGAAAAAAGTGACAATAAAGGTTATCTTATCTTATCCTACCTTACCTTATATTATCTAAATGTCTCCAGCCTGAAATGACTATTTGCCTCATCATTTTAAAAGCTAAAAGTGACATTTGATTTTCTGTAAATTTCATACTCCTCCACTTTTCCCTATAAATTACTGTCTAGATTCGATTTTTGTAAAGTGGGCATAATCAGTTAAAAAGCAAGTTGAAAAAAAAATATACATAGCTTCCTAGCCATTTCAATTCCCATTTGCATATCTGGAAAATTTTAAGCCTTATTTATCTTATACACCGCTGATTTATATTATACTGAAATTTTCAGTAACCTTGTTTTTAAGAAATTATCAATTTGTATTGTAATTAGAGGGAAAAAAGTCCCGTGCTCTTTTTTAATACTTTTTTTGGTTTCTCCCAAAATAAGGTATTAAAGAATTATCACACCTGTATGTTAAGGGAAATAATATTGGAAACAAGACCAGTTTAAAAGAATTTGGAGACTCAACGCATGCCAGATTTGCAGCCTCCCCACCTCTAAACTATACATTTAATGGTTACTATAAAATAAAGTATTATGCATTCAAAGTATGCATTCAATCAATAGAATACTCAGAAAACCTGAATTAAAAATTAAAGATATATCTCAAAAAAACCTCCTAGATATAAAATCATAATATAAACCATTTTCATTTTAAAACATTCAAATTCTTCTTTAAAAAAATCATACTTCCATTGGCAGAGAAAACTGTTTATTTTAAAAAAATGTCCTACAATTATTGCCATGAGTCTATCAGTGCTCAAAGTCAAGTTATATCACTCTGAATTACAGTGACCTACTTTCTCTTAAAAGTGCAGAGGATTTGGAACAACATAAAAGCAGTAACCCTTCCATACTGTCAGGAAAACTGTTCAACCAAAATATAATTCAGAATCCAAATCATATAACACATATTTATGAAGCAATTTCTTTGCTTTAAAATGCACGTAGAACAACTTGGGAAAGAATGCAAAACAAAACCACAATGGAGGAAAGGAGGAAAGAGAAACAGCATGCTTTGTAGCCCTTTGTTCTGACAAGATATCTGTGAGTAGAATAGAACCAGTCACTATGCAGTAAAATCCTGCTTAAAAAGCTGATCAGCTTCATCTACTTGCTTGCTAAAATGGAACCTGTTATCCAATGGGTGGACATGGTCCTTTAAAAATCCTCTCAGCCCAATGTAATAATTTGCTAACACAGAACTGTGCTAATCCCTAGGTAGACATACCTGCCCTAAATCTACACCGGAAGTGGTGCCATAGAAAATCCTGCCAAATGTGAAGATGCCAAAGGAGTACTGCTAGTGAAGTTCATGGAGTATGGTTCGACCATCAATCCAGAAGTCTACTGTGAAACGTTATGAAAACTCAGACAGGCCATCCATAACAAGCGTCGGGGCATGCTGACTTCCGGTATGGTGTTGGTTCATGATAATGCTTGGCCACACATCATTAGATGCACCCAAGAACTTTTGAAGCAGTTCCATCGGGATTTTTTGATCATTAAACACAGATTTGGCGCTGAGCGACTACTACTAAGGAATTTCAAACCTTGTAAGATTTTATGGCAAGTGCCTCAATTTGAATGGCGATTATGTCGAAAAATAATGTAATGTTGTAGTTTTCTAAAGTGTATAATAAAAGTTCTGTCTGTCATTGATAACCAAATGGAGGTTTATTTCCGAATTGCCCTCGCATATGTTGCAGGTCATTACATCATGCAAAACAGCAGTGCTTATAGTTAAAAGGAGACTGGGATATGTTAATAGAATAACAACATTTAGGAAAACAAGCTCCTTCTCTTCTAGATAATAAAGTTGATGGAGAGCAATTCAAAATGTTAAATTGTTTGTTTTACCTGGTGGCAGGTGATCAGCACAGCTGTCCACACAAAGAAACCTGAGATGGCCTGGGCAGCAGTTGTCATTAGGAATATTGGCTGCTCCACTGCAGTGAGGCTGCCATCCTCAGGCATCCTGGATAAATTAGGGGCTGTAGCAGGGGTGCTGGCTGGGAAATCGGACTCAGGCACTGACATGGCTCCAGTTACTACAATCATCATTATTTTTTGTTGTTCAAACCTACAGGAAAATTGAAAGAGGAGGAAAAAAAATCAGCAGAATGACTTGAAATAATGTAGACATAATCCAAAAATGCTAGGACAAAACTACATGAATTTTGGGAAAAAATTGCCATCAATGCTAAACATACAGAGGAAATAGTTGATACAACTTATTTATGTATTTATGATACACACAGCATGGTTATCCCTGAGTTAAAAAAACACAGAAGGACAGAAGAAACTAATCTGTAGAAATGTAATGTGCATTGTTTGTTTTTAACTCAATCTATAAAATACTGAGATATGCACTGCTCAGAACTGGCTTCAATTTATGTGGCTTATAAGCCCAGTAAATAATTAAATAAATAAATACATAAATCCATTTCTGAAATTGATACAACCTTTGCTCCAAAAAAACAAACAGCAGCAATTCAAAACAGAACATATAAATGAGATTATGATGCGATATTAAAGAGACTAGATGTTTTTACATCTACAATACGTAGTAATCTACGTAGTCAGTTCATTTTAAAAAGAAGATATAAAATTCTGGTACTTGACAGACCTCGCTAGAGGTCAGCCTTACAAGACAAGTATGTATGTAATCAGCAAACATGCTATTAAAATATCCTTCAGGTAGTTATTGTATTTTCTTTGACATTAGCCTGTTGACTTTTATTCTGGACAAAATAACATCATCAAAATCCAGCAAAGCCATTTAGTTTTAAAAACCTGAAATTATACTCTACAATACTGATAGTTCTTGACTTACAATCATAACTGGGCATGGAACTTCTGTCACTAAGTTATGTGCTTGTTAAGTGAACCATACCCAATTTTACAATCTTTTTTTCATAGGCATTAAACAAATCATTAAGAGAATCTTGCTTTTCCCATTTACTTGTGTGTCAGAAGCTAAGTTGGGAAGGTCACAAATGATAATGATTTGACCCCAGGATGCTCCAACCATCGTAAACACATGCTGTGTGCCAAGTGCCTGAATCCCATGACTGCAGGGATGCTGCAACAGTGTGAGCAATGCTTGGAAACAACTTTTTTTCATCACTGTCATATCTTTAAACTCTCATTAAACAAATGGTGTCAGGGACTACCTGTCTCCGTATGATCATAACTGGGACCAGAACTTCATAACTAAGTGATGCAATCATTAAGTGAAACTCGCTCCATTTTACAATCTTTTTTGCCATAGTCATATCAAACAGCAGTTAAGCAAATCTGACTTCCCCCACTGAGTTTGCTTGGGGGCAGCCCCCTGGGAAGTCTGCAAAGGGTAATAATGTGACCTTGGGATCCTGCAACTATTGCAAATGCATATCAGTTGCCAAATGCTGAAATTTTGATCACACGATTGCAGGTAAATCAGTCAATAAAAGGCAAATGTATGAATAATGTTAATTATTTTAGAACCAGATATTAGAGGATGTATTCTTTGCAAAGTATATTTTACTTTCACCTAAAAGCAAAAAAACAGTCTTGCTGAATTGGGAATCTTCCTACTTATTTTCCTAAATGATGTTCTACACTTTGTCCCAAAGTTGTATCTGGGCTTCTTCACTGTCCTGAGTATGTCAAAGATAGATAAACCTGAATGGAATAGTGCAATTACTTTTTTTTGAGCCTTCAGTGTTTAATAACAGAAATCAGCAAAACAGGAGTATTTTTCCTTTGTTACATGGTTCACTACAGGTAGTCCTCTACTTACAGCTACAATTGAGCCCAAAATTTATGTTGCTAAGCGAGACATTATTGAGTTTTGCCCCATTTTTGTGACCTTCCTTGTCCAGTTGTTGAGTGAATCACTGCAGTTGTCAAATTAGTAACATGGTTAAGCGAATCTGGCTTCCCCATTGACTTTGGTTTTCAGAAGGTTGCCAAATGGGATCACATGACCCTGGGACACGGCATCCATATAAATATGAAACAGTTGCCAAGCTTCCAAATTTTGATCATGTGACCATGGGGATGCTGCAACAGTTGTGTGAAAAACAGCGATAAGTCACTTTTTTCAGTGCCACTGTTAACTTCAAACAGTCACTAAAGAATGGTTGTAAGTGGAGGACTACCTGTATAGACATTGGATTGATATAGATGTAGTAGTTGTTTTTGAGTGAGTGGAGCATCTATCTATGTAGTAGTGCTGAATAGCAGATAGAATTGACTTTTCTTCTCCGTCTGGACAGGTAGGAGGTTTAAAACTTCTATTTTTGAATTCTTGCTTGTCTATAACTAAATACGCAATAACAAGTGTTTTAAGCTTGTAATTTATTTCCCACAAACTAATTATTACAACATGCTTTATTGTTGATAAATAATCTGTGTAACTAAAACTAGAGAATTTAATTATTCAAAATAACCTCAGATGCAAATCCATTTACTTGACGCACCTCAAAAATAACTGGATATTATTTTGAAGGATTAGGGGAGGAAAACTATGCCCATTTATCAGTTTATGAAAATGAATCTCTACTTGCAGGATGTTTCTTGTTTCGTTTCTTCTTAATATTCTGAATATAGATTGTCATAATGATGCTAGGAAATAGACACACCCTACAGTAGCCTTCGTCTGATATATTCAAAGGAAAAGTAACTAGACTACTCCCTTTTAACTTATTTCCTGTCTTTTACCTAAAAAAAGAATGTCCTGACTATATTACATACATACATTTTATAAACCCACACACACACATGCATTAAAGAAAAATATAAGTTAATAGAGGAGAAAAACTATCTTGAAAAAGAATTTCACGGTAAAAGGCTTTCACTGTTGATCTGCATAACTGACTTAACATAGAAGGAAGATATAAAATAACTTGATTGCTTGCATATGGAACAGTGCAAGAATGTTAGACAAAAAAATAACTAATATGGGTAGAAGGAGCTACTCCAAATAAAAGAAAGTTAGACAGGTGTGTATGTGAGCAAATATACGTTGAGAAATATTATACGCTTTAAAATTTCAATATGTACAGTACTTAATTAAAAATCTTTATATAGAAAGTGAGCCTTCCATGCAAGAAATTGAATATATGAACTGCTGCAGAACATAATAGCTGGAAACATGCCTTATAGCATTTCAGGTAGTCTCAACTTATGACTGTTCATTTAACAATGGTTTGAAGTTATGATGGCTTCAGAAAAAGTGACAACCGATAGTTGATGTGCACTTGTATGACTGTCACACTACCAGCTAGTATTTACCTCAGTTGCAGCATCTTGTGGTCATGTGATCACAATTTACAACCTTCCCAGTTGGCTTCCAACAACAAGTCAACTGAGGAAGCCAGATTTGCTACAGTAAAAATGGTCATAAATTCAGGTCCAATCACACGATGTCTTGTTTGACAACTGCATCATTTAGTGACTGATGTTCAGGTCCCAACTGTGGTTGTAAGTGGAGGACTACTTGTACAACTTCTTCTATTTCCATAACATAGTTTCATATATAATAGTTTCCATCATAAATGCTCTTAATCTGCAATACATGACCAAGGCTAAATGTTACTGTATAATATGAGCAACAATAGTTAATATACATATTTTAAGAAAATATTATACAGCAGATAGAATTTGGTTTTTAATTCACCCCTCCCCTATTTGTTTCCAGTAAATTGCATCCCACAGGGGTGATTAAAATGATCACCATGCTGCATTACATGTTCAAATCGTCATGTTCTTACTCCCTGGACACAAGCTAATCCGTTGCCTTCTCATTCAGCATTTGCACTGACAAACAAAACTAACCTGCAGTGAATACTTTTGCTGTTGTCTTTTTAAAAAAATGAAACTCCAAGTCAGAAAAACTTGAGTCACATTACATCAGACACTAATATTCTAATTAAAACATACAGTACAGCTTTGATAAGTTGATAATATAAATGCAAAGTGCTATTCTTTCAGAAAAAAATCTGCCATGTATTGAAAGCTGTTATTTTCAAGATCCATCCTATCTTAAAGGTTGCTTTATTTTTTTTAATCATTGTGTTACAGATTAGTTTTTAAAAGACTCCCATGGGGTTAAACAGGATTAAATGTCTTGATAGAAATCTGAGTGTAATTCTATGGAAGAACAAAATAGGAAAGCGTAAGTAATTTTAAAAATAAGTTAATGCATATTTAAATCCTATCTTCCTTCAAGAGTTCATTATTGTTCTCTTTCTCCTTGGCATCCTATGATACCACTGGCAGCAATTTTTAAATTAAAGAGTTGCTGCTGTTGACCATTAGAGTTATTTCTAAGATATAAAAAGTAATTGATCACTATATACAGTAATATACAGTAGTATCTATTTACTCTTTTCAGAAGACTGACTTACATTTAGCTGATAATGAAAATTAGAAAAAACTGAAGATATGCCGCTGAGCTGTGAAATACACTGTATACACAATACTTTACATACTATTTATTAAGGGTATTAGCAGGCATTTCTGTATTTTGAAATATGGGGTTGTGAATGCAAAGTATGTCACGATTCCCATTGTCAAGCAATAGGAAATAACAGCAGTGAAACTGTAGAGGGTGAGAAAGGTAGGAGATTCAACTAAATTAGCATGCTTAAATTATATAAATATTCTCCATTTTTAAAAAAAAACAATGACCCTTCAAATATTGGTATTTGCATGCAAGTTCTCAGATGGAAAGAACAAAGTATGTCCTATGTGAAGTGTACATAATTAGTCAGGTAATCCACACAAGCCATTGAGTAGTGTGGCACTAAACGTGCCATTGCTCCTACAACCACTGATATCAGAATTTAGTTTTGTTTCACTGCGCACAGTACCCATATTGAACCCCACACTATGTACTTAAGAATCATGCTGCACCACTGAAAAATCACGGGGTTATCATTCTGTACTGTAAATATTTCAATTGCTTTTGACTACTCTGAAAATAAACTGGGCTGTCGATTTATATAGGGAAAAGGCTCCCCTACGGAAGTCATACTCTATTATCACAACCAGAGTCCAGACCAAGCTGCTGAGAGG